CACCTGGCTACCACTACCCCCGGCCACCAGCTCTGCACCCTCCGCTGCAACTTGCCCATGCCCCCCCCGCTTCTCCTTCACACAAATCCAGACAGCTGATGTTCTAAAAGAGCTGCAAAATCTGGACCCCTACAAATCATCTGGGCTAGACAATCTGGACCCTTTCTTTCTAAAACTAGCCGCCGAAATTGTCGCAACCCCTATTACTAGCCTGTTCAACCTCTCTTTCGTAACGTCTGAGATCCCCAGAGATTGGAAAGCTGCCGCGGTCATCCCCCTCTTCAAAGGGGGTGACACTCTAGATCCAAACTGTTACAGACCCATATCCATCCTGCCCTGCCTTTCAAAAGTTTTTGAAAGCCAAGTCAACAAACAGATCACCGACCATTTCGAATCCCACCGTACCTTCTCCGCTATGCAATCCGGTTTCCGAGCTGGTCATGGGTGCACTTCAGCCACGCTCAAGGTCCTAAACGATATTATAACCGCGATCGATAATAGACAGTACTGTGCAGCCGTTTTCATTGACCTGGCCAAGGCTTTCGACTCTGTCAACCACCACATTCTTATTGGCAGACTAAATAGCCTTGGTTTCTCAAATGACTGCCTCGCCTGGTTCACCAACTACTTCTCAGATAGAGTTCAATGTGTCAAATCAGAGGGCCTGTTGTCTGGACCTATGGCAGTCTCTATGGGGGTGCCACAGGGTTCAATTCTTGGGCCAACTCTTTTCTCTGTGTATATCAATGACGTCGCTCTTGCTGCTGGTGACTCTCAGATCCACCTCTACGCAGACGACACCATTTTGTATACATCTGGCCCTTCATTGGACACTGTGTTAACAAACCTCCAAACGAGCTTCAATTCCATACAACACTCCTTCAGTAGCCTCCAACTGCTCTTAAACACTAGTAAAACTAAATGCATGCTCTTCAACCGAACGCTGCTTGCACCCGCCCACCCGACTAGAATCACTACTCTAGACGGGTCTGACCTAGAGTATGTGGACAACTACAAATATCTAGGTGTCTGGTTAGACTGTAAACTCTCCTTCCAGACTCACATTAAGAATCTCCAATCCAAAGTTAAATCTAGAATCGGTTTCCTATTTCGCAACAAAGCCTCCTTCACTCATGCTGCCAAACATGCCCTCGTAAAACGGACTATCCTACCGATCCTTGACTTCGGCGATGTCATTTACAAAATAGCCTCCAACACTCTACTCAGCAAATTGGATGTTGTCTATCACAGTGCCATCCGTTTTGTCTCCAAAGCCCATATAATACCCACCACTGTGACCTGTACGCTCTTGTTGGCTGGTCCTCACTACATATTCGTCGCCAAACCCACTGGCTCCAGGCCATCTATAAATCACTGCTAGGCAAATCCCCGCCTTATCTTAGCTCATTGGTCACCATAGCAACACCCACCCGTAGTCTGCGCTCCAGCGGGTATATCTCACTGGTCATCCCCAAAGCCAACACCTCCTTTGGCCGCAATTCCTTCCAGTTCTCTGCTGCCAATGACTGGAACAAATTGCAAAAATCTCTGAAGCTGGAGACACTTATCTCCCTCACTAACTTTAAGCATCAGTTGTCAGAGCACCTTACCGATCACTGCACCTGTACACAGCCCATCTGAAATTAGCCCGCCCAACTACCTCATCCCTATATTGTTATTTATTTTGCTAATTTGTACCCCAGTATCTCTATTTGCACATCATCTCTTGCACATCATTCCAGTGTTAATACTAAATTGTAATTATTATATATAGCCTATTTTATTGCCTTACCTCCATAACTTGCTAAATTTGCACACTGTATATTATATGTATTTCTGTTGTATTTTTGACTTTGTTTTGTTTTACCCCATATGTAACTCTGTGTTGTTGTTTTTATCGCACTGCTTTGCTTTATCTTGGCCAGGTCGCAGTTGTAAATGAGAACTTGTTCTCAACTGGTTTACCTGGTTAAATAAAGGTGAAATAAAATAAAATAAATAAAAATACACTCAATTATTACTTGGCTGCATTGCCTTTAAATTGTTTAACTTGGGTCAAACATTTCGGGTAGCCTTCCACAAGCTTCCCACAATAAGTTGGGTGAATTTTGGCCCATTCCTCCTGACAGAGCTGGTGTAACTGAGTCAGGTTTGTAGGCCTCCTTGCTCGCACACGCTTTTTCAGTTATATAGCTGTACTGAGACAAAGCAGCGGCGAAAGACAAAGCAGGTTTTGACAGCTCATCGCAAGCTTTTTCTTCGACCCAGGCCTAATCAAACAAACCTGATTCAATTATTTTTTGTTAAAGCAGGGCTGAAGCAAAAACCTGCACACCCAGTAGCTCTCCGGGGCCACCCCTGATTTATCTAATCTTAGGGGGGTAGATTTAGGCTTGAGGAATGTGGAGACCACAGAGAGAAAGAAACAGCCACACAAAACATCTTCACCACAGAACATTTTAATAAATTCAGACATGGACTAGAAAAACGGACAAAAGGCATTTTGTATTAAAGAAATGAGCTTAACTAACAACAGGTAGTTTCTTTCCATTGTAAGACTTCTATGTTACACTTAGTGATTACCATGGTGATTACCATGGTGATTACCATGTACTATCTGTCTAATGACTGACAGATCAGGCAGATGCAGAAGCAACATTATGGGATATTTCTCAGGTCAATAAGTTAATCAGCTAACTGTGTTTAACATTCAGAACTCTTGATTTAGAGTTGAGAATGTGGTTGAACACCAAGCCACCTTAAAAGAGTCTTTCAGTGTGAACTGGGGAATACAGTCAAGTTATTTCGAGGCATTTACGAACGTTTACAAGCTGCCTCAATGGTCCTGGCTTAGGTAACATGCCACTATTAGTCCAACCGCTCATTTGAAAGGCATTTTACGGCCGATTCGATCAGCCGACATCCGCATAGTTGATGTTCTGACGGTGTCGGAGGTGCTGCTTTAGAGCTGTGAAATCCACAGGCGGTTCCTGGTGTTACACCTAAAGAGGACGTTGCCATTGGCTGCACGGAGTCCCATTATACCTAAAGAGGACGTTGCCATTGGCTGCACGGAGTCGCATTATACCTAAAGAGGACGTTGCCATTGGCTGCACGGAGTCCCATTATACCTAAAGAGGACGTTGCCATTGGCTGCACGGAGTCCCATTATACCTAAAGAGGACGTTGCCATTGGCTGCACGGAGTCCCATTATACCTAAAGAGGACGTTGCCATTGGCTGCACGGAGTCCCATTATACCTAAAGAGGACGTTTTAAATTGGCTGCACGGAGTCCCATTATACCTAAAGAGGACGTTGCCATTGGCTGCACGGAGTCCCATTATCCCTAAAGAGGACGTTGCCATTGGCTGCACGGAGCCCCTTATACCTAAGAGGACGTTGCCATTGGCTAGCGGATTCCATATACCTAAAGAGGACGTTGCCTTTGGCGAGAGTCCATTAACCTAAAGAGGACGTTGCCATTGGCTGCACGGAGTCCCTTATACCTAAAAGGGGGTTCCCATTGGCTGCACGAGTCCTTATACCTAAAGAGGACGTTCCTTTGGGTCACGGAGTCCTTAAAACCTAAAAGACGTTGCCATTGGTGCACGGAGTCGCCTTATACCTAAGAGGACGTTGCCATTGGCCACGATCGCATTATACCTAAAGAAAAAACGTTCCCATTGGGTTTGCACGGATCGCATTATCCCTAAGAGGACGTTGCCATTGGCTGCACGGAGTCGCGTTATACCAAAGACGTCCGGGAGGACTTATTGGGAAACTTCCCATTGGCTGCACGATCCTTATACTAAGAGGACGTTGCCATGGCTGCAAGCGTCCGTTTTACCTAAAGGGACTGCCTTGCTGGGGTAGCTTACCTAAGAGGTTCCTTGTCAACGCAGCTTCGGTTTGTTGAGAAAGGTATCAGGAACCATATCATTTCCTGGGTGTGACCTGGGGAAATTCTTTTTTGCCGTTTGTCCAAATTTTATCATTCCGAATGTTCCCCTATCTGGCTCCTGATGGCTTAATGGAAACATGTTAAAAGTCATGGGTTCGACAGAAAACAAAACAGAAAGAAGAGCGCTCTCCAGTGTTTGGTTCTGTTCAGGCATTTTGATTGGTCCACAGCCAGGTCAGGGGTTAGAGGTGAGGGGTCATGGGTCATTGGTTAAAAGGTCAGGAACAGTCAGCAGGTTGTGTTTTTATACACATCCTTTAAAACTATGTATATGTGGTGTATATTTACACTAGCCTGGCTCCCAGACCTGTTTATGCTGTCTTGCCAACACAAACAGGAATCCATATCAGTCCTGGGGTGGTGTACGGAATCTTTATCTGTCCTGGGGTGGTGTACGGAATCTATATCAGTCCTGGGGTGGTGTACGGAATCCATATCTGTCCTGGGGTGGTGTACGGAATCCATATCTGTCCTGGGGTGGTGTACGGACTCCATATCAGTCCTGGGGTGGTGTACGGAATCCATATCTGTCCTGGGGTGGTGTACGGAATCTATATCAGTCCTGGGGTGGTGTACGGAATCTATATCAGTCCTGGGGTGGTGTACGGAATCCATATCAGTCCTGGGGTGGTGTACGGAATCCATATCTGTCCTGGGGTGGTGTACGGAATCCATATCTGTCCTGGGGTGGTGTACGGACTCCATATCAGTCCTGGGGTGGTGTACGGAATCCATATCTGTCCTGGGGTGGTGTACAGAATCCATATCTGTCCTGGGGCGGTGTACGGAATCCATATCTGTCCTGGGGTGGTGTACGGAATCCATATCTGTCCTGGGGTGGTGTACGGAATCTATATCAGTCCTGGGGTGGTGTACGGAATCCATATCTGTCCTGGGGTGGTGTACGGAATCTATATCAGTCCTGGGGTGGTGTATGGAATCCATATTAGGAAGTTGTCCGTTTTCAGACAAAACTACATCAGAGGACAGACAAAATACCCTTGGACAGGGTGACAAGTCAATGTCAGGGGTCAAGGTCTAGTAGATGACCTCATAGACGGTGGCCTTCTTGTCTCCAGAGCCAGTCACAATGTACTTGTCATCCCCAGAGATGTCACAGCTTAGCACTGAGGATGACTCCTTGGACTGGAGAGAGAGAGAGAGGGGGGGGGGGGTGGGGGGAGAAGTGGACGGAGAGAGAAGGGGGATGGAGAGAGGGTGGGGGGATGGAAGAGGGGGGGGGGGGAAGTGGAGGGAGGAGGGTAGAGAGGGGGGGGAGAGGGAGGAGGGGGGGGGGAGAAGGAGGGAGAGAAGGGAAGGGGGTTGGGGGGGGGGGGGGACCCCCCGGGGGGGGGGGGGGGGCGGGGGGGGTTTTTTTTTGGGGGGGGGGGTCTGTACCGCCTTTTCCCTTTCTGAAAAAGCCACCATCCAGAAATCCTTTTGTATCAAAACTGATGTCAGTCATCATACAACCGGTATCAGAACTGATGTCAGTCCTCATACAACCAGTGTGAACTATTCACCTGGAATATGCTGGCTCCGTAAGGTGTTCTCCATGCATTCAGCAGGTTGTCTTTCCCGGTGCTCACAAACCATTTACCTACAGAGAGAGATGAGACAAGACCATCACAATCAGGAATCAGATTCAAACACAATACGTTTCTATGGCAATACATCAAACACAATACGTTTCTATGGCAATACGTCAAACACAATACGTTTCTATGGCAATACGTCAAACACTACGTTTCTATGGCAATACGTCAAACACAATACGTTTCTATGGCAATACGTCAAACACAATACGTTTCTATGGCAATACATCAAACACAATTCGTTTCTATGGCAATACGTCAAACACAATACGTTTCTATGGCAATACGTCAAACACAATACGTTTCTATGGCAAACATCAAACAATACATTTCTATGGCAATACATCAAACACAATACGTTTCTATGGCAACACATCAAATACAATACGTTTCTATGGCAATACATCAAACACAATACGTTTCTATGGCAATACATCAAACACAATACGTTTCTATGGCAATACGTCAAACACAATACGTTTCTATGGCAATACATCAAACACAATTCGTTTCTATGGCAATACATCAAACACAATACATTTCTATGGCAATACGTCAAACACAATACGTTTCTGGCCAGAAACACACTCTTGAATAGAGACAAAACAGACGAATGGGCAGACAGATGCGCAGACAGCCAGACAGACAGACAGGCAGACAGGCAGACAGGCAGACAGGCAGACAGCCAGCCAGACAGGCAGACAGACAGCCAGACAGGCAGACAGGCAGACAGCCAGACAGCCAGACAGACAGACAGACAGACAGACAGGCAGGCAGCCAGACAGGCAGATAGGCAGACAGGCAGACAGCCAGCCAGACAGACAGACAGACAGACAGACAGACAGACAGACAGACAGGCAGGCAGCCAGACAGGCAGGCAGACAGACAGACAGGCAGGCAGCCAGACAGGCAGACAGACAGGCAGGCAGGCAGACAAACAGACAGCCAGACAGGCAGGCAGCCAGACAGATAGGCAGCCAGACAGATAGGCAGGCAGCCAGACAGACAGGCAGACAGACAGACAGACAGACAGACAGACAGACAGACAGACAGGCAGGCAGCCAGACAGGCAGACAGGCAGACAGACAGGCAGGCAGACAGGCAGGCAGCCAGGCAGATAGGCAGCCAGACAGATAGGCAGGCAGGCAGCCAGACAGACAGACAGACAGACAGACAGACAGACAGACAGACAGACAGGCAGGCAGCCAGACAGGCAGACAGGCAGACAGACAGGCAGGCAGACAGGCAGGCAGCCAGACAGATAGGCAGCCAGACAGCCCGTACGTACCACAGTGAGCGAACCTGAGGGAGAGGACACAGCTCTCATGAAGGTGTAGCTGGTATTTTTCTGGCTTGGTAACGTGTAGAACCTCGACGTTACTGTTCTCCATCCCTACAGCTAACCACTCCCCTGTAGGACAGTACCCCAGAGAGAAGATCTGGAGGGGAGGACACGCACAACACCCACATTAAAAACAGGTAGTGAGTGTGAAAGTGTTGGAGAGTCAGGGGGACTGTGTGTGTGTGTAGTGTGTGTGTGTGTACCTGTGAGCTGAAGTCATGCTGACGTAGCTGGCGTCCCTCTCTCAGGTCCCAGGAGCGCACCGTGTTGTCCAGACCTCCTGTCCACAGCTTGGTCCCATCGTGAGAGATATCTATACAGCTAGCCCCGTCCGTATGGCCCTGGAACTGCCTACACACACAGTAACACACAATAATAACACACAATAACACACAGTAACACACAGTAACACAACACACAGTAACACAACACACAATAACACACAATAACAACACAGTAACACACAATAACACAATAACAACACAGTAACACACAATAACACAATAACAACACACAGTAACACACAATAACACAATAACAACACACAGTAACACACAATAACACAACACACAGTAAAACACATTTTGGCTAAGGTGTACAGTTGAAGTCGGAAGTTTACATACACCTTAGCCAAATACATTTAAACTCAGTTTTTCACAATTCCTGACATTTAATCCTAATACTGGACCGCAGAGAAGCCTGTTCCTCTGAAGATATGGTACTGAGTAAATACTGCAATGCGGGTTGATTGAATTCAGCCAAAGTGTGCTTCTGAGACTCATTAATTGGACGATTGATGGATTTATCAATTGATTGATTTGAGTGTTGTGGTTTTGAACGATCAAATGGACGGTGTCTGGCGAATGTATGAAAATGTATGCACTCACTAACTGTAAGTCACTCTGGATAAGACTAAAATGTAAATGTAAAATATAGTCGTCTTGACTTATTTCTTATGCCATTGTCGTTGGCACCAAAAGTTAAAAAAGTGTTGATAGGGGACAGAATGCGGTCGGACCATCATTAAATTGGCATATACATTACTCTTACTGAATTTCCACGTGGGCGAGGATATTGGAAATTTAATCAAAGCCTATTGGATGATAACTTGTTTTTAACTAGGACAGAGGAATTTATTACTGATTTTTTCCAACATAACATAGGCACAGCAAACCCCTTATTGTATGGGACACCTTTAAATGTGCCTTTAGAGGCCATGCAATTCAGGACTCATCTCGAAAACAAAAGCAATTTAGGTCAAAAGAGTCCATACTAACAAAGGAAATAGAAGGTCTAACAGAACAGATAGATAGCAAAAAAACTGTACCATAGAGGCTCAGAATAAATTAGAGGAAAAACTAAAAGAAATTGAGAAACTTATTCAAGAAAGATCTGTGTAATATATTATAAAAAATAAAGCAAACTGGATGGAATATGGGGAAAAATGCACCAAATTCTTTTTTTAATCTTCAACATAGGAATGCTACCAAAATAATTTATTGAAACTGGTTACAAATGACGGAGTCACCCATGATTCATCAAATTATATTTTGAAGGAGGAAACAAAGTACTTTAAGCATATGTTTTCGTTTCAGTCGCCTCCATCTCCTCTAACTGAAGCAAATTGTTTTTCTATTGATAATGTAAAATTAACAGCCATACAGAAAGACTCATGTGAAGGTGAAATTACAGAGGAGGAACTTCTGGATGCAATTAAAGACTTTAAGTCCGGGAAAACTCCAGGGTTGGATGGCATACCAATCGAGGTATACCAAACCTTTTTTGATATACTAAGAGGACCGTTATTAGCATGTTTTAACCACTCCTATGTAAATGGTAGATTATCTGACACTCAAGAAGAAGATCTCATTATTACTGAAACAGGATACAAGTGGAAAATATAAAGATCCAGTCTATTAAATAAATTGGAGGCCCCTTACACTTCAGTGTTGTGATGCAAAAATTCTAGCAAAATGTATAGCGCATAGAATTAAAAAGGTATTGTCGGACATTATTCATTCTAATCAGACAGGTTTTTTACATGGGCGATACATTGGAGATAATATAAGGCAAGTACTGGAAACAATAGAACACTATGGAAAATCTGGGAAACCAGGCCTGCTATTCATAGCAGACTTCGAAAAGGCATTTGATAAAGTACGACTGGGGTTTATATATAAATGCCTGGAGCATTTCAATTTTGGACAATCTCTTATAAATTGGGTTAAAATCATGTATAGTGACCCTAGGTATAAAATAATAAATAATGGCTATTTCTCAGAAAGTTTTAAACTGTCAAGAGGAGTGAAACAAGGTTGTCCACTATCGGCATATCTATTTATTATTGCCGTCGAGATGTTAGCTATTAAAATCAGATCCAACAATAATATCAAGGGATTAGAAATCCAGGGCTTAAAAACAAAGGTGTCATTGTACGCTGATGATTCATGTTTTCTTTTAAATCCACAACTTGAATCCCTCCACAGCCTCATAGAGGATCTAGATACATTTTCTAACCTCTCTGGATTACAACCAAATTATGATAAATGTACTATATTACATACAGTGGGGAAAAAAGTATTTAGTCAGCCACCAATTGTGCAAGTTCTCCCACTTAAAAAGATGAGAGAGGCTTATTTTCCACCATAATTTGCAAATAAATTCATTAAAAATCCTACAATGTGATTTTCTGGATTTTTTTTCCTCAATTTGTCTGTCATAGTTGACGTGTACCTATGATGAAAATTACAGGCCTCTCTCATCTTTTTAAGTGGGAGAACTTGCACAATTGGTGGCTGACTAAATATTTTTTCCCCCACTGTATATATATATATATATGCGAGAAAAAAACATATGGGGGATTGGAAGTGATGGAGACAATTACATTGATGGAAGTTACAATCTATCTGAAATATAAAACATTTAAAAAAAACTTCCTGACTGATGTCTTGAGCTGTTGCTTCAATATATACACGTAGTTTTCCTTCCTTATGATGCCATCTATTTTGTGAAGTGCACCAGCCCCTCCTGCAGCAAAGCACCCCCACAGCATGATGCTGCCACCCCCGTGCTTCACGGTTGGGAAGGTGTTCTTCGGCTTGCAGGTGACCCCCTTTTTCCTCCAAACATAACGATGGTCATTATGGCCAAACAGTTTTATTTTTGTTTCATCAGACTAGAGGACATTTCTCCAAAAAGTACGATCTTTGTCTCCATGTGCAGTTGCAAACTGTAGTCTGGCTTTTTTATGGCGGTTTTGTAGCAGTGACTTCTTCCTTGCTGATCGGCCTTTCAGGTTATGTCGATATAGGACTCGTTTTACTGTGGATATAGATACTTTTGTACCTGTTTCCTCCAGCATCTTCATAAGGTCCTTTGCTGTTGTTCTGGGATTGATTTGCACTTTTCGCACCAAAGTACATTCATCTCTAGGAGACAGAACGTGTCTCCTTCCTGAGCGGTATGACAGCTGCGTGGTCCCATGGTGTTTATACTTGCGTACTATTGTTTGTACAGATGAACGTGGTACCTTCAGGCGTTTGGAAATTGCTCCCAAGAATTAACCAGACTTGTGGAGGTCTACAATTATTTTTCTGAGGTCTTGGCTGATTTCTTTCGATTTTCCCATGATGTCAAGCAAAGAGGCACTGAGTTTGAAGGTAGGCCTTGAAATACATCCACAGGTACACCTCCAATTGACTCAAATGATGTCAATTAGCCTATCAGAAGCTTCTAAAGCCATGACATCATTTTTGGAATTTTCCAAGCTGTTTAAAGGCACAGTCAACTTAGTTTATGTAAACTTCTGACCCACTGGAATTGTGATACAGTGAATTATAAGTGAAATAATCGGTCTGTAAACAATTGTTGGAAAAATTACTTGTGTCATGCACAAAGTAGATGTCCTAACCAATGTGCCAAAACTATAGTTTGTTAACAAGACATTTGTGGAGTATATATATATATATATATATATTAGCGAGAAAAAATTTTTGGGGATTGGAAGTGATGCAGACAATTACATTGATGGAAGTTACAATCTATCTGCAATATTAAAGCTGATCTACACCCTAAAAAAAACAAGAAAAAAACACACAATGACACACAGTAACACATCAGTACTGTAAAAACACACAATCAATATGGAAGTAATATAACAATCACAAATCAATGGAAGTCAAGAAGCACCGTCAACACCAGACCCTACCTGACCCATGTCTGGTTGTGGAGGTCCGTCAATACCACTGACCCAGAAAAACCGGGACAGACCCTACCTGACCCATGTCTGGTTGTGGAGGTCCGTCAATACCACTGACCCAGAAAAACCGGGACAGACCCTACCTGACCCATGTCTGGTTGTGGAGGTCCGTCAATACCACTGACCCAGAAAAACCGGGACAGACCCTACCTGACCCATGTCTGGTTGTGGAGGTCCGTCAATACCACTGACCCGAAAAACCGGGACAGACCCTACCTGACCCATGTCTGGTTTGTGGAGGTCCGTCAATACCACTGACCCAGAAAAAACCGGGACAAGACCCTACCTGACCCATGTCTGGTTGTGGAGGTCCGTCAATACCACTGACCCAGAAAAACCGGGACAGACCCTACCTGACCCATGTCTGGTTGTGGAGGTCCATCAATACCACTGACCCAGAAAAACCGGGACAGACCCTACCTGACCAATGTCTGGTTGTGGAGGTCCCAGACGGCGATGTTCCCGTCGCTACAGCAGGAGAAGCAGACCTTGGCGTCGGGGGAGATGGCGAGGGCGTAGCAGGCCGGGGCGGAGGACGTTAGCTCCGCCTTGATACGCGGGGTGGGTGAGGCTAGGTCCCAGATTGAAAGAGTGGAGGCCTCGCCCCCTATGATCAGAGTCCGCCCGTCATGCAGCAGTCGGCATGAACGGATGTAGTTGTCTCTGTTCTGATAGACACACACAGGCATGGACACACACACACAAACACGCACAAAGAGGGTTATTGTTATTTGTGTTCAGATACACACAAGCATATACTATACATAACCTCTATTATAAACACAACAGGATGTCCTATACATAACCTCTATTATAAACACAACAGGATGTCCTATACATAACCTCTATTATAAACACAACAGGATGTCCTATACATAACCTCTATTATAAACACAACAGGATGTCCTATACATAACCTCTATTATAAACACAACAGGAGTCCAACATAACCCTATTATAAACACACAGAGTCCTTACAAAACCTCATTAAAAACACAACAGATGTCCTATACAAACCTCTATTATAAACAAAACGGATTCCTTACTAACCCTATTTAAACAAAACAGATTCCTATACATAACCTCTATTAAAACCCAAAAACAGGTGCCCCTACAAACCTCTATTTAACACAACGGGATGTCCTATACAAAACCTCTTTTTAAAAAACAAAACCCGGGATGCCCTATACTAACCCTTTTAAAAACACAACAGGAGTCCTATACATACCTCTATTATAAACAAAACAGGTTCCTATACAAACCTCTATTTAAACAAAACGGATTCCTATCAAACCCCTATTATAAACACACGGGAGTCCTATACTAACCTCTATTATAAACACAACAGGATGTCCTATCAAACCCTTTATAAACAAAACGGATGTCCTTACAAACCCCTTATTTAAAACACAACAGGTTTCCCCAAACAAACCTCATTAAAAACAAAACAGGATGTCCTATACAAAACCCTATTATAAACAAAAAATTTCCCTACAAAACCCTATTATAAACACAACAGATGTCCTAACTAACCCTATTATAAACCAACGGGATGCCTATACATACCTCTTTTAAAACACCAGGATTCCTTACAAAACCTCATTTAAACACAACAGGATGCCCTTACAAAACCCTATTATAAACCAAACGGGTTTTTTCCCCTATCAACCCTATTATAACCAAAACGGGGATGCCTATACAAAACCTCTTTTATAAACACACAGGATGTCCTATACAAAACCTTTTTAAAAACAAAAACAATTCCTATACATAACCCTTTTATAAAACAACAGGAGCCTATACATAACCCTATTATAAACAAAACCCGGATGTCCTTACATAACCTCTATTATAAACACAAAATTTCCTATACAAACCCTTTCTATTAAAAACCCAAAACGATTCCTATACTACCTCTATTATAAACACAACAATGTCCTATACTAACCCTATTATAAACACAACGGGAGTCCTATCCCTAACCTCTATTATAAACAAACCGGGACCTATACAAAAACCCTATTATAACCAACAGGATGTCCTATCCCAAAACCTCTTTTTAAAAACCAAAAACAGGATTCCTATAAAAAACCCTTTAAAAACAAAACGGGATGTCCTAACAAAACCCTTTTTAAAAAACACAACAGGATGTCCTATACAAAAACCTCTTTTAAAAACACAACAATTCCAAAACAAAAACCCTTTTAAAAAACAAAACGGATTCCTATAAATACCCTATATAACACAACGGGTTCCTATACAAAACCCATTAAAAAAACAACAGGTTCCTTACAAAACCCTATTAAAAAAACACAACGTTTCCCTATACAAACCCTTTTTAACAAAACGGATTCCTATCATAACCCTATTTAAACACAACGGGATTTCCTTTACCTCATTTAAACCAACAGATTTCCTATCATAACCCTTTTATAAACACAACAGGGCCCCTTAAAAAACCTCTTTAAAAACACAACGGATTCCTATACAAAAACCTCTATTAAAAACACAACGGAGTCCTAACATAACCACTATTATAAAACAACGGGATTCCTTACAACCCTATTAACACAACGGGATTCCTATACAACCCCTTATTAAAAAACCAAACGGGATGCCATAAAAACCCCCTTTTAAAAAAAAAATTTTATAAACCCCAAAAACCCAACAGAATTCCTATACATAACCTCTATTATAAACACAACGGTTTCCTTACATCCTCTATTATAAACACAACGGATGTCCTATACATAACCTCTATTAAAAAAACAGGATGTCCCTATACTAACCTCTATTAAAACACAACAGTTTCCTATCATACCTCTATTAAAAACAACAGAGTCCATACTAACCTCTATTTAAAAAAAAACAGAGTCCTATACATAACCCTATTTAAACACACAGTTCCTATACAAACCCTTTTTAAACCCAAAACGGATGCCTTCAAAAACCACATTAAACCACAGGAGTCCAAATACAAAACCCTATTATAAACACAACGGTGTCCTATACAAACCCTTTTAAAACACAACAGGATGTCCTTACAAACCCTATTATAAAACACAGGATGTCCTATACAAAACCCTATTATAAACAAAACGGTTTCCCTTACTAAACCTCTATTATAAACACAGGATTCAAAACAAACCCATTAAAACACAACGGATGTCCTATACTACCTCTATTATAAACAAACGGGTGTCCTATACATAACCACTTTAAAAACCAAAACAGGATGTCCATAATCCCCTTTTTAAAAACAAAAGGGCCCCAACTAAAATTTTTCCACTTTATAAAACCAATTTATAAACCAAAACAGGATTCCTATACAAAACCACATTAAAACAAAACGGGGGAGTCCAACAAAACCTCTATTAAACACCGGGATGTCCATACAAAACCTCTATTAAAAACCAACAGGATTCCTTTAACAAAACCACTTTTAAAACCAACAGATGTCCTATACAAACCTCTTTAAAAACACAACAGGATGTCCTAAAACAAAACCCTCTATTATAAACACAACGGATGCCCTATACAAACCTCTATTAAAACCAACAGGATGTCCTTAAAACCTCTTTTTAAACACAACGGGAAGTCCTATCATAACCTCTTTATAAAACAACAGGATGTCCAAAAAAACCTCTATTATAAACACAACGGGTTTCCCTATACAAACCCTTTTTAAAAACACAACTGGGACTATTTTTGGGGTGGGCCAACACACCACCCGGGAAAAAACTTTAGGGAAGCACGTATCTACCTCCTCCTCCCCCCCTTTCCCCCCTCCCTCCCTCCCTCCCTCCCTCCCTCACTCCCCTCTACCTCCCCCCATCTACCTCCCTCTCCCCCCTCCCTCCATCCCTCCCTCTCCCCCCCCCTCCATCTACCTCCCTCTCCCCCCTCCCCCCATCACCTCCCCTCCCCCCCTCCCTGACCTCCCCCCCCCTCTCCCCCCTCCCTCCCCCTCCCTCCCCTCCCTCTACCTCCCTCCCTCCCCCTTCCCTCCCCCCCTCCCTCCCTCCCTCCCTTCCTCTACCCCCTCCCTCCCCCTCCCCTCTACCTCCCTCCCTCCCTCCCCCTCCTCCCTCACCTCCCTCCCTCCCTCTCCCCCCTCCCTCCCCTACCTCCCTCTCCCCTCCCTCCCTGTCCCTTTCCCCTCCCCCATCTCCCTCCTCTCCTCTCCCTCCCCCCCTCCCCACCCTCCCTCCCTCCCTCCCCCTCCCCCCCTCCCTCCCTCCCTCCCTCCCTCTACCCTCCCTCCCTCCCCCCTCCCTCCCCTCCCTCCCTCTACCTCCCTCCCTCTCCCCCTCCCTCCATCTACCCCCCTCTCCTTCCCCCCTCCCTCCCTACCTCCCTCTCCCCTCCCTCCCCCCCCTCCCTCCCTCCCTCCCTCCCTCCCTCCCTCCCTCCCTCCTCCCCCCCCTCCCCCTACCCCCTCCTCCCCTCCCTCCCTGCCCCCCTCCCTCCCTCCCTCCCCCTACCTCCCTCCCTCCCTCCCTCCCTCCCTCCCCCTCCCCCTCTCCTCCCCCTACCTCCCTCTCCCCTCCCCCCCTTTACCCTCCCCCCCTCCTCTCCCTCCCTCCCTCTCCCTCCCTCCCCCTCCCTCCCTCCCTCCCCCCCTCTCCCTCTCCTCCCTCCTACCCCCCCTACCTCCCCTCCCTCCCCCTCCACCACCCCGCTCTAACCAGCCTCCCTCCCTCCCCCCCCTACCCATCCCTCCCACTCCCTCTACATATTCATGGAGCCTGAGAGAAAATGTTTGCAGTTTTAAAGCTTAATTCTATGCATTTTTTGCCATGGCTAATGCAGTGTTATTCTGCTCAAACACAATAACAAAATCAATATTAATAAATTAATTGTTTAATTTTAAATTCTTCTCGACAATCTAGTTCTCAAAGGTTATATTAAACAGTATATAGTTAAGTCCATTACCTTACCCCCCCCAGGTGACCTGTATAGTAGCCTCAACCCACCGGCCAGTCCAGCTGAGAGACAGGGATCCCTCCCTCCCCCTAACATCCATCACCCTAACTCCATCCATCTCATTCCCTCCTCCCTCCCTCCCCCTCCTCCCTCCTTCCCTCCCCTTTTACCTCCCTCCCTCCCTCTACCCACCTCCCCCCCCCCCCCATCCCTCCCCTCTACCTCCCTACCCTCCCTCCCTCCCTCAATACCTCCCTCCATCTACCTCCCCCCCTCCCCCCCCTCCCCTCCCTCCCTCCCTCCGCCCTCCCCTCCCATTCCCTCCCCCCCCCCCCTCCCCCTCCCCCCCCCCCCCCCACCCTCCATCTACCTCCCCCCCTCCCAGGTGACCTGTATAGTATCCTCACCAGACAGTCCAGCTGAGAGACGGGGCTCTTGCTGCCCGGCTGGCTGATATCCCAGATCTTGACACAGCCCTTCCCTCCTGTGTAGACATGTCTGGTGGGGTTGGAGATGGTGACAGCACACACCACCTCGCCGTGGCTCAGCGTGTTGATCTGACGGGCGTGACGCGGGATGCCCGGGCCTATCAGGGCGTCCGGAGGGAACGGCACCGGCTGCATCTGGCCGTCAGTGCTCACGTGGAAGGAATAGGCTCTGAGAGGAGGAGTGGTGATGAAGAGTTATTTTAATGTTGGTTTATTTTAGATTCTGATCTAGTGAATCAAAATTAAAAAGGAGACGTACTGTTTTCCTCCAGAGAGGTTGGGAGGAAGACCAGGGACCCTCATGTGATGGTGGGGGTCAAAACCCACCTGGAGGATGGAGAACAGAAGAGAGATTCATTTTTTATCTCTTTGATGAAATCATTCAAGCATCTTGTACCCTTCAAACCAAAACGCAGTTTATATGATGCACTTTTATGTGACTTTCAATTGACATTGCTCAAACATTGCCCATTGATGTGATGAGATGGCGGCTGTAGCCTAGCGGTTATGAGCGTTGGGACAGTGACCGAACGGTCGCTGGTTCGAATCCTAGAGCCGACTAGGTGACAAATCTGTTGATGTGCCCTTGAGCAAGGCACTAACCCTAATTGCTCCTGTAAGTCGCTAATTGACTAAAAGGTAATTGTGCTGCAGTGGCTGTTTTACGTACTCATGTCCAATTCTGCTATTTTCTATTTCTATTATTTTGTACATAACGTCTCCACCATCGCGTCCTATGACCAAAAACGGCTTCTGGACATCAGAACAGCGAATGCTAACCTCGTAATATCCTTTGTTTCTCGGAGTCTTGGCTGAACGTGGACATGGATAATATATTGTATATTTCAAGGGTTTCTCTATGCACCGTCTAGACAGGATGTCAGCCTCGAGGAAGAGTAGGGGGAGGTGTATGGGAGGAAGAGTAGGGGGAGGTGTATGTCTCTGTTTACAGCAGCTGGTGCGCAATCTCTGATGTTTAGGAAGTCTCGAGGTTTTGCTCGCCTGAGGTAGAATACCTCATTAAAGCTGTAGACCTGTAGACCCACTATTTCACCAAGAGAGTTTTCATCTATATTTTCGTAGCTGTCTATTTACCACCACAAACCCTGCTGGCACTAAGACCGCACTCAACGAGCTGTATAAGGCCATAAGCAAAGAAGAAAATGCACATCGAGACGCTTCTCGTGGCCGGTGATTTTAATGCAGGGACTCTGAAATCCATTTAACCTAATTTTAGGATGTCACCTGTGCAACAAGAGGCAACAAAACTCTAGATCACCTTTACTCCAATCATAGAGACGCAAACAAAACTCTAGATCACCTTTACTCCAATCACAGCAACGCATACAGGGCTCTAGATCACCTTTCCTCCAATCATAGAGACGCATACAGGGCTCTAGATCACCTTTCCTCCAATCATAGAAACGCAAACAAAACTCTAGATCACCTTTCCTCCAATCATAGAAACGCAACCAAAACTCTAGATCACCTTTCCTCCAATCATAGAAACGCAAACAAAACTCTAGATCACCTTTCCTCCAATCATAGCAACGCATACAGGGCTCTCCCTCACCCTACATTTGGCAAATCTGACCATAATGGTATCCTCCTGATTCAACCAAAAGTATGTGGATACCTGTTCGTCGAACATCTCATTCCAAAATCATGGGCATTAATATGAAGTTGGTCCCCTCCTTTGCTGCTATAACAGCCTCCACTCCTCTGGGAAGGCTTTCCACTAGATGTTGGAACATTGCTGAGGGGACTTGCTTCCATTCAGCCACAAGAGCATTAGTGAGGTCGGGCACTGATGTTGGGCGATTAGGCCTGGCTTGCAGTTGGCATTCCAATTCATCCCAAAGGTGTTATGCAGACGACACACAACTAATCTTCTGCATGTCTGACAGACATATCAGTGTGGATGTCGGATCACCACCTCAAGCTGAACCTCGGCAAGACGGAGCTGCTCTTCCTCCCGGGGAAGGACTGCCTGTTCCATGATCTCGCCATCACGGTTGACAACTCCGTTGTGTCCTCCTCCCAGAGTGCGAAGAGCCTTGGCGTGACCCTGGACAACACCCTGTCGTTCTCCGCTAACATCAAGGCGGTGACCCGATCCTGTAGGTTCATGCTCTACAACATTCGGAGAGTACGACCCTGCCTTACACAGGAAGCGGCACATGTCCTAATCCAGGCACTTGTCATCTCCCGTCTGGATTACTGCAACTCGCTGTTGGCTGGGCTCCCTGCCTGTGCCATTAAACCCCTACAACTCATCCAGAATGCCGCAGCCCGTCTGGTGTTCAACCTTCCCAAGTTCTATCACGTCACCCCGCTCCTCCGCACACTCCACTGGCTTCCAGTTGAAGCTTGCATCTGCTACAAACCATGGTGCTTGCCTACGGAGCTGTGAGGGGAACGGCACCTCCGTACCTTCAGGCTCTGATCAGTCCCTACACCCAAACGAGGGCATTGCGTTCATCCACCTCTGGCCTGCTGGCCCCCCTACCTCTGCGGAAGCACAGTTCCCGCTCAGCCCAGTCAAAACTGTTCGCTGCTCTGGCACCCCAATGGTGGAACAAGCTCCCTCACGACGCCAGGACAGCGGAGTCACTCACCACCTTCCGGAGACACTTGAAACCCCACCTCTTTAAGGAATTCCTGGGATAGGATAAAGTAATCCTTCTACCCCCCCTTACCCCACCCCATCCCAAAAAAATTAAAATAAACATATTGTAAAGTGGTTATTGTCACACCCTGGCTCGGGGACTCATTATGTTGAGCCAGGGTGTGTTCATTCTATGTTTTCTGTTTCTTTGGTGGGTGTTCTAGGTTGTCTATTTTCTATGTTTGCCGGTGTGACTCCCAATCAGAGGCAACGAGTGTCAGCTGTCGGCTGGTTGTCTCTGATTGGGAGCCATATTTATTCTGTCTGTTTTTCTTTCGGGTTGTGGGATTTTGTTCGTGTGTGTTCGTGTTGTACCATAGACGTCACGCATTCGTTGTTTATTGTTTTGTTCGTGTGAGCATTTAATAAATAGAATATGTTCACTCGCAACGCTGCGCCTTGGTCTCCCTCATTAGACGATCGTGACAGAAAATCCCACCAGTACCAGACCAAGCAGCGTGAGGAGGAGAGAGGAAGGACCTGGGATCAGTGGAGTAGGAGTTTCGGCTGGGCCCCGCTAAGTGAAGAGAAGAGAGGCTGGTCTATGGAGCAATGGATCAAGAGCTTCGACTGGGTCAAGCCCATTGAGGAGCTGAGTGACGAGGGTTGGAGACAGAGGAGCGAGAGGTGGGCGAGAACGATGGAGGCCTGGCCCACGGGGAGGAGAGACCCCCAGAACATTTTTAGGGGGGGGGGCTCACGACGTGGACGACGGGGCAGCAGGAGGCCGCGAGGTAGCGGTCCAGCGGGTGTGAAGAGGAGGCCGCCAGGTTAAGGGGGCCACTGGTCACAGAGGAGAGGGAAAGTGTGGAGGCACGGCGAGAGGTACTGGGGTGTGTTACCAGTCCGGTCCGGCCCGTTCCTGATCCCTGCGTAGGGCCAGTGGTGTGTGTCCCCAGTACGGTCCGGCCTGTTCCTGTTCCTCGCATCGAGCCTGTGGTGCGTGTCGTCAGCCCGGCCCGGCCTGTTCCTGCTTCCCGCACCGAGCCTATGGTGCGCGTCGCCAGCCCGGCCCGGCCTGTTCCTGCTCCCTGCACCAAACCTGTGGTGCGCGTCGCCAGCCCGGTCCGGCCCGTTCCTGCTCTCCGCACCAAGTCTGTGGTGCGCGTCGCCAGCCCGGCCCGGCCTGTTCCTGCTCCCCGCACCAAACCTGTGGTGCGCGTCGCCAGCCCGGTCCGGCCCGTTCCTGCTCTCCGCACCAAGTCTGTGGTGCGCGTCGCCAGCCCGGCCCGGCCTGTTCCTGCTCCCCGCACCAAACCTGTGGTGCGCGTCGCCAGCCCGGCCCGGCCTGTTCCTGCTCCCCGCACCAAGTCTGTGGTGCGTTTCGTCAGCCCTGTCCGGCTCGTTCCTGCTCTCCGCACCAAGTCTGTGGTGCGCGTCGCCAGCCCATTCCGGTCCATTCCTGCTCCACGCACCAAGCCAGGGGTGTGTATCGTCAGCCCGGTCCGGTCCGTTCCTGTTCCACGCACCAAGCCAGGGGCGCGTGTCGTCAGTCCGGCTCCGGCCAGCGGGGCTAGACAGGACCAGGGGTACTTTGGGGGGTTGGAGAGGAAGTGGGGATCAAGCCCGGAGCCGGAGCCGCCGCCGAGGAGGAATGCCCACCCAGCCCCCCCCTGTTTTTGCTCGTATTTAGGCGCGGTCGCAGTCCGCGCCTTTAGGGGGGGGTACTGTCACACCCTGGCTCGGGGACTCATTATGTTGAGCCAGGGTGTGTTCATTCTATGTTTTCTGTTTCTTTGGTGGGTGTTCTAGGTTGTCTATTTTCTATGTTTGCCGGTGTGACTCCCAATCAGAGGCAACGAGTGTCAGCTGTCGGCTGGTTGTCTCTGATTGGGAGCCATATTTATTCTGTCTGTTTTTCTTTCGGGTTGTGGGATTTTGTTTGTGTGTGTTCGTGTTGTACCATAGACGTCACGCATTCGTTGTTTATTGTTTTGTTCGTGTGAGCATTTAATAAATAGAATATGTTCACTCGCAACGCTGCGCCTTGGTCTCCCTCATTAGACGATCGTGACAGTTATCCCACTGGCTATAAGGTGAATGCACCAATTTGTAAGTCGCTCTGGATAAGAGCATCTGCTAAATGTTGTAAATGTAAATGTAAATGTGTTCGATGGGGTTGAGGTCAGGACTCTGTGCAGGCCAGTCAAGTTCTTCCACACCGATCTCGACAAACCATTTCTGTATGGACCTCGCTTTGTGCTCTTCATGCTGAAACAGGAACGGGCCTTCCCCAAACTGTTGCCACAAAGTTGGAAGCACAGAATAATCTGGAATGTCATTGTATGCTGTAGCGTTAAGATTTCCCTTCACTGGAATTAAGAGGCCTAGCCCGAACCATGAAAAACAGCCCCAGACCATTATTCCTCCTCCACCAAACTTTACAGTTGGCACTATGCATTGGGGCAGGTAGCGTTCTCTTGGCATCCGCCAATCCCAGATGTGTCCGTTGGATTCATCCAGAGTGTCCCTGGTGTTGAATAACAACATCTTCATTATTATCTTTCCTATCTCTGAATCAGGAAGTAATGTCTACACCTGTTGTTTACGGAGCACGTGACAAATACAATGTGATTTGATTTTGATATTGCTCAAACATTGCCCAACCCCTTTATAATTTGTGCCAATGAAAGAAGATTGAGTGACACTAATAAGATGGTGGATATTTGCATGTTGTGAGTTGAGTTAGGAGAATAGAGTACCGTTTATTGTGAGTTGAGTTAGGAGAATAGAGTACCACATGTTGTGAGTTGAGGTAGGAGAATAGAGTACCGCATGTTGTGAGTTGAGGTAGGAGAATAGAGTACCACATGTTGTGAGTTGAGTTAGGAGAATAGAGTACCACATGTTTGTGAGTTGAGGTGAGTTGAGTTAGGAGAATAGAGTACCACATGTTGTGAGTTGAGTTGGGAGAATAGAGTACCACATGTTGTGAGTTGAGTTAGGAGAATAGAGTACCACATGTTGTGAGTTGAGGTAGGAGAATAGAGTACCACATGTTGTGAGTTGAGGTAGGAGAATAGAGTACCACATGTTGTGAGTTGAGGTAGGAGAATAGAGTACCACATGTTGTGAGTTGAGGTAGGAGAATAGAGTACCGCTTGTGATCGTCCGTAGGCCACGACTGCAGCGGCGGCAGCAGGAGAGAGGTTGTGTAGGGAGGAGTAGCCACCCAGGTCGCCGTTCAGCCCGTTGAGGCCTGGGTGGGGCACCATGCCAAACGCACCCGGGTAAGGACACGTCAACGCCAGCGGACGCAGACCAGGGCCTGGAACAAACAACATAGGTCAACCCCTTAAGGTCTAAGGATCCAGGGTTCTACTAAGCTAATTGCTTTCAGATGGTCATACCAAGGCTAATTTAGCTATTTGATTTTGCATTTTATAAAAATATATTTAAAAACGTTTTGATGAAACATTGAATTTGGCCTTACTGCTATTAGCCCTATAGAAACACATTGAATAGCATTCACACATGGCAAAACAGGTAGTACAAAAAAATAAAAAAAATAAAGGAAGTATGTTTTGAATTGTCTGTCCTATATCTGAGAGATATAAGAAAGATAAGGAAATTATATTTTAAAAAAACAATGTTTAACCACTTTTTGGGGCACTAAAGTACTTCCAAATCCACTGAGTGTACAAAACATTATGAACACCTGCTCTTTCCATGACAGACTGACCAGGTGAAAGCTATGATCCCTTATTGATGTCACCTGTTAAATCCACTTCAATCAGTGTAGATGAACGGGAGGAGACAGGTTAATGAAGGATTTTTAAGCCTTGAGACAATTGAGACATAGATTGTGTATGTGTGCCATTCAGAGGGTGAATGGGCAAGACAAAATATTTAAGTGCCTTTGAACGGGGTTTGGTAGTAGGTGCCAGGCGCACCGGTTTGAGTGTGTCAAGAACTGCAACGCTGCTGGGTCTTTCACGCTCAACAGTTTCCCGTGTGTATCGAGCAGTGGTGGTCGGTGCTCTTTAAGAATAGGGAGGACAATTATTATTTTTTTATGAGCTTGGCCTTATTTCTATTACAGCATATTGGATGACTGTCATCCATATTCCATCCACCCAGCTCAATGTAACATCGATAGGTTTAGGCTACTACATGATACTCTAATGTTCCCTGTACCCATCATGAGGTTGCTACAACCTAGCCTACGAATAAACGTTATACAACGTAGGTGCACAGGTCGAGACAAATTGGAGTAATCAAGGTGACAGACAGTGACCCATTCAATCCCGCCTTGCACACTCTTGCCTGCATCAAGCTGATCTAGGGTGTAATCATTAGTTGCTACGAGACTATTGCAGCTCTGTGGGTGTAACATTTATTGACAATGTTGATACCTTCTGGAAACAAAGCTTGTGTTATAAGGAGGATGGGATCCACCCAAATCATTTGGGTTCCTTGGATCCTTTCACAGGCTGCTTTGAGACAATGAATTATCAATGACCAGCTCATTTAATCCCTACCATTGTGTCGCTGAGTTGTCATAATGATTCAGCAAATGTACATTATCCTAGGGGTGTTGGAAGACACAATGTAAGTAACCTAATTTATGTCCCACTTCCTACCCTGAATGCCTCTGCTGATCCTACAGCTATTGGATGCAGTAATCATGTGCCTATGAACCAGAGTTATACTGTTAGCACTGAGGTGGTGTGCACGAGTAGGAAGTCCACTGTGTGCAGCTCACCCTACACTAATAAAAATAACCTGAGTATGTCTACCTCTGCTAAGCTTCCCAGTAAAGCAATAAAAACAATCAAGCATCCCAGAAAAGTGCTAAAAATAGCCCACATTAACATATGTAGCTTAAGAAACATGGTTCATGAAATTAATAACTTGCTAGTAACAGATGACATTCATATTCTGACAATCTCTGAAACTCACTTAGATAATACCTTTGATGATACAGTGGTAGCAATACAAGGTTATAACATTTACAGAAAAGACAGAAATGCCAACGAGGGCGGTGTTGCGGTCTATATTCAGAACCACATTCCTGTAAAGCTTAGAGATGATCTCATGTTAAATACTGTTGAAGTAATATGGCTACAGGTTCAAAAAGCCCATTCTGGTGGGAAGCTGCTATAGACCACCAAGTGCTAACAGTCAGTATCTGGATAACATGTGTGAAATTCTTGATAATATACACTACCGTTCAAAAGTTTGGGGTCACTTAGAAATGTCCGTCTTTTCGAAAGAAAAGCAATTTTGTTGTCCATTAAAATAACACCAAATTGATCAGAAATAAAGTGTAGACATTGTTAATGTTGTAAATGGCTATTGTAGCTGGAAACGGCTGATTTTTACTGGAATATCTACAGTACATAGGCGTACAGAGGCCCATTATCAGCAACCGTCAGTCCTGTGTTCCAATGACACATTGTGTTTGCTAATCCAAGGTTATAATTTTAAAAGGCTAATTGATCATTAGAAAACCCTTTTGCAATTATGTTAGCACAGCTGAAAACTGTTGCGCTGATTAAAGAAGCAATAAACTGGCCTTCTTGAGACTAGTTGAGTATCTGGAGTATCAGCAATTGTGGGTTCGATTACAGGCTCAAAATGGCCAGAAACAAATAACTTTCTTCTCAAACTTGTCTGTCTATTCTTGTTCTGAGAAATGAAGGCTATTCCATGCGAGAAATTGCCAAGAAACTGAAGATCTCATACAACGCTGTGTACTACTCCCTTCACAGAACAGTGCAAACTAGCTCTAACCAGAATAGAAAGAGGAGTGGGAGGCCCCGGTGCACAACTGAGCAAGAGGACAAATACATTAGAGTGTCTAGTTTGAGAAACAGACGCCTCACAGGTCCTCAACTGGCAGCTTCATTAAATAGTACCCACAAAACACCAACCTCAACGTCAACAGTGAAGAGGTGACTCCAGGATGCTGACCTTCTATGCAGAGTAGCAAAGAAAAAGCCATATCTCAGACTGCCCATCTTAATATTTTATTTTTATTGGCCAGTCTGAGATATGGCTTTTTCTTTGCAACTCTAATAAGCATGCACCCATTAACAAAATGACTGTAAAAACGGTTAAATCCCTGTGGATTGATGAGGAATTTGAAAATTGTATGGTTGAGAGGGATGAGGCAAAAGAGATGGCAAATAGGTCTGGCTGGACAACCGATTGGCAAACGTACTGCAAATTAAGAAATCATGTGACTAAACTGAATAAAAAGAAGAAGAAACTACACTATGAAACAAAGACAAATTGACAACAGACTTTCAGCACGCTTATAGGGAAGGACATTCAACAACCACAGCACTTACACAAATGACTGATGATTGGCTGAGATAAATTGATGATACAAATATTGTGGGGGCTGTTTTATTAGACTTTAGCGCGGCTTGTGACATTATCGATCATCGTCTGCTGTTGGAAGAACGTATGTGTTATGGCTTTACACCCCCTGCTATATTGTGGATAAAGAGTTACCTGTCTAACAGAACACAGAGGGTGTTCTTTAATGGAAGCCTCTCCAACAAAATCCAGGTAGAATCAAGAATTCCCCAGGGCAGCTGTCTAGGCCCCTTACTTGTTTCAATTTTTACTAACGACTTGCCAATGGCTTTGAGTAAAGTCTATAATAAAGCACTGCTCTGCATTCTTAACAGCACTATCAACAAGGCAGGTCCTACAGGCCCTAGTTTTGTCGCAACTGGACTACTGTTCAGTCGTGTGGTCAGGTGCCACAAAGAGGGACTTAGGAAAATTGCAATGACAAAAATGTAAATTTAGCAGACGCTCTTATCCAGAGCGAGTGCATACATTTTTTTTTTTTCATACTGGCCCCCCGTAGGAATCGAACCCACAACCCTGGCGTTACAAACACCATGCTCTACCAACTGAGCTACATGGGACTATTATATTTCAAAATTAAAATCTAATTCTCTAGCCTATACTTGTAACTTTGTAGGCCACATGTGCTGCACCAGAATCACATGTTCTCTTCTGCTTTATCATGGTTTGAACGATGTGCGTAATTCCAGTCCATATAATACAGCATAATACAATACAGTAATACAGTTCACACTCAAAAAGATTAGCCTACTGGAGCTAGTTTCATTTATTTACCCAAGAAAGCATATAGCTAGATACATCTATGGGCTTTTATATAGCTAGCTACATCTATGGGCTTTATATAGCTAGCTACATCTATGGGCTTTATATAGCTAGCTACATCTATGGGCTTTATATAGCTAGCTACATCTATGGGCTTTATACAGCTAGCTACATCTATGGGCTTTATATAGCTAGATACATCTATGGGCTTTATATAGCTAGCTACATCTATGGGCTTTATATAGCTAGTCACTCTATGGGCTTATATAGCTAGCTACATCTATGGGCTTTTTATATAGCTAGCTACATCTATGGCTTTTATATAGCTAGCTACATCTATGGGCTTTATATAGCTAGCTACATCTATGGGCTTTTATATAGCTAGCTACATCTATGGGCTTTATATAGCTAGCTACATCTATGGGCTTTATATAGTAGCTACATCTATGGGCTTTTATATAGCTAGCTACATCTATGGCTTTATATAGCTAGCTACATCTATGGGCTTTATATAGCTAGATACATCTATGGGTTTTAATAGCTAGCTACATCTATGGGCTTTATATAGCTAGCTACATCTATGGGCTTTAATAGTAGTACTCTATGGGCTTTATATGCTAGCCTTTTTGGGCTTTATGTGTACACATCTATGGGCTTTTATTAGCTAATAATTAGGGGTTTATATAGCTAGCTACATCTTGGGCTTTATATAGCTAGACATTATGGGCTTTATTTAGCTGAATCTTGGGCTTATATAGTAGCTACACTAGGGCTTTTATTAGCTAGCTAATCTAGGGCTTTATATGCACACATCTGGGCTTTATATAGTAGCTACATCTAGGCTTTTTTACTAGCTACACTTGGGTTTTATATGCTACTAATATAGGGCTTTATAACTAGCAATCTATGGGGGTTTTATAGCAGCACATCTATGGGGGTTTAGGCTACTAATCTAGGGCTTTATATAGCTAGATACATCTTTGGCTTTATATGCTGATACACTATGGGGTTTTTATACTAGCAATCTATGGGGTTTAAGCTAGCTACATCTTGGGCTTTATTAGCTAGTACATTAGGGCTTTTTTATAGCTAGCTACATCTATGGGCTTTTATAGCTAGTACATCT